GCTCCTGGGAGCCATCCTTTCATGGGGAATCATGTGGCCTCTTATAAGCAATCAAAAGGGCCACTGGTATCCAGCAGATGCTCCACCAGACAGCCTCCATGGGTTGCAGGGTTACAGGGTAAACTCTCTCTCATTCCTGCTGCTTCAAGAAGAGAGGCTTTAGTGTCATGGGTCTTCTCTGTGCAGGTCTTCACAGCCGTTGCCTTAATTCTCGGTGATGGCCTCTACAACCTTCTCAAGATCCTACGTCAAACCACGTCCTCCTTCATTTCTGCTGTGCTGAGCGGCCCCGAGAGCGACCTTCCCATCTCGGACGACGAACGTGCTCTAACAAATCTTGCCATCTCATTTGATGATGAAAAGCGAACCGCGGTGTTCGTCAAGGATCACATACCTCTGTGGGTAGCATATGGATGCTACGTTGTGATCGCCACCCTCTCCATTGCTACGATTCCTCGCATCTTTCCTCCGCTCGAGTGGTACCACGTCTTGGTCGCCCATGTCTTAGCCCCAGTACTAGCTTTCTGCAACGCCTATGGCTGCGGCCTTACAGATTGGAATACGGCCTCCACCTATGGGAAGCTTGCCATCTTCATCTTTGGAGCTTGGGCAGGCGCCTCCCATGGTGGTGTGCTCGCGGGCCTTGCAGCCAGTGGCGTCGTGATGAGCATTGCAGCCACTGCTTCAGTTCTCATGCAGAGCTTCCGGACCGGATACCTGACACTAACGTCTCCCAGATCGATGCTCGTGAGCCAAGTTATCGGCACTGCCATGGGTTGTGTGATTGCTCCCTGTGTCTTCTGGCTTTTCTACAAGGCGTTCGATGACATCGGCATCCCTGGCAGTCAATACCCAGCACCTTATGCTCTCATGTACCGGAACATGGCAATCGTCGGAGTGGATGGCTTCTCCTCCCTTCCAAAACACTGCCTCACTCTTTGCTACTTTTTCTTCGCACTTGGGATCGCCATCAACTTGGCAAAAGATGCGTCTCCCGGCGAGGTGGCGAGGTTCATACCAATCCCGGTGGCGATGGCTATACCTTTCTACATCGGAGGATCCTTCGCCATCGACATGTGCATCGGAAGCGCGATACTGTATGCATGGACAAAGATGAACAAGGCCAAGGCAGGTGCATTTGGTCCTGCAGTGGCCTCCGGTTTGATCTGCGGCGATGGAATGTGGAGTCTACCTCAGGGAGTGCTTGCACTGGCTCAGGTGAGTCCTCCAATGTGCATGAAGTTTGGCTCTGGAGAATGAAAGATAAGGTAGATGCTTACATGATGGATGGCGAGTGTGAGACAACAGAACAAACATTCTCTTTGCTACCCATCCATACCAAAGAAGTGAACATCACAAGCATGGATAGTGAACCTCACAAGTATTGGAATGTTTAGTGTTGTTACTATGGAAGCAGTGTCGTTGCACAAATGCAGCCCTTCACAGCATGCGAAGGTAGAGAAGCAGAATTATCAGTCTTTAAAGAGAAATTTCACATCCATCTGCAGAAATATTATTGGTGGACTTACAAGATAACATTTACCACTTTTATTGATGAATTAAGGGTTAAGGTTCATTTTTGTCCTTGTAATTTTGGTCATTGATGAGAGCGCTCTTTCTCGTTTCTCGTTTGAGAGCAACCTCCTTCCAATTGTCCTAGTCATTTGCGAAGCTACTCCCATCCCTCGACGGCTCATTCCACCAAATAAGGAAGACACACACAATGAGGAAGACGAAGAAAGCTTAGGTTTTGACTGGGACATGTTAGTTACTTGGACTCGGAGGTGTCACAACTAAAAGAGAATAAAAAAGATAGAACATCTTTTATCAAATTTTTTAATTTAAATTATACGTATCATTATATTAATAATTTATTATGAATCAATATTTCACGTAAACAAATTATAACATATATTAACTCAAACTTGACGAAAAAAATTTATATATTATGTTTTTATAAAATATAAAAATTATTTTAGACACGAATAAAAACTATAAAAACTTAAAAGGTCCGATTGGAACAATATAATAATAAACTTTAACCTAACAATTAATTTTTTTTGCTATCTGTCAGTATATAACCTTGATATCAGACTTGTCCAACTAGAACAATGTAATAATAGAATACAACTGATGCAATCCCCAAAGAAATGTTTCAATAACTATAGCAAGACTTAAACATGCCGATAGTATATATATAAGGATAATATAAACAATTATGTTTTTCAAGGTAATGATCTTATGTGGATAAATACAGTATACCTCTCTTTATAAGTAATTGCGACACATTGGGAGAAAGCAAAGTTGGATAACCTGGATCAGGGCATCAGGTCATTGGGGCCTATGGTAGCCTCCCTGATGAGATGGAGGATAAGGCGATGGGATGGTATACGGAGGTCGAGGATGTGAACCTGGTTGCTGTTGAGGTGCATTGTAGTAAGGTCCACGATATCCTGGATACTGGCTGGTTGGTGCTTGGAAAGGGACCTGCGGCGGTGTTGCATATGGAGGGTAAGGATGAGAATATCCGGGTCTCGGGTGCTCTCCTGGAGGGTGATGGTAAGTTGGTTGTGGATATGGTTGAGCACTCTGAGGATCAGGTTGCTGAGAAGCATTTCGCTGCAGGTTGGACTGCCCAACAGAAGGATGATTATAACCCGCCCTTCCATCGGGAAAGTTGAGACCAGCAATCTGCCTCTGGACATCCTCAATCATTTCACGGCACTGAATGTTTCTGGTCATTGCAAAGTCGCTACATTGCTGCTTTACATTTGTTATTGCATCCTGTTCAAAGAATACAGTGGAAGATTACTTCAGTCATTTTAATGCAACAAATGCAAGAAATATAGCCACATAATACAAAACTTCAATCCGGTCCAACAAAAGCAACACTTGTACCTGAAGAGTGACATAAAACTTCAATCCCTCATTGATGTTATCCTTGATTTCTCGATATTTTGCTATTGCGGCAGAGATCTGTTTGTAACTCTTCTCACGAGCAACTGCCAAGAATATTTTAACCCAATGTAAGAAAGGTTATTATAAACAGATTTTTATGTCTTTGAAATTCTGAGAGCAGAAAATAAACAAACCTAACAAAGTATCAAATGTGCATATCTCTCTAACATTAAGCTTAAACTCCAAGAAAAGAATTTGGCCAGAAACAAAATATAAAAAGGTCGAGCGGATAAATATCTTATCACAGGTTTTGTCAGAATGTAATCTGACCACTAAAACTTATAATAACCACTTGAATGCCAAACAAAACACATGATATCCATGATTGCCTTGGTTCAACAGAAATATAACCCACAAAATTCAAATGCTATAGTGTTGTTTGACAATGTAGGTAGATTCATGTTTTAAGGGGAGAAAAGGACAGGCTCCCACAAATCTTGCTTTTATGGAGGATCAAACTTATACAGCCTTGTCTTAGTATGTGGAGAGGCTATTTATATATTTTCATAATTTGAACCCATAATTTCCAACCAATGAACTAAGATAAAGCCATGTAGTGCATACGAGTCATTGAATAAATTAAAGTGATGTGAAAAGATAATAAATTTTGACGACAAATTACACAGAAGTTCCATAGCATGTCAAGAGTTTAGCTGAGAATAAAGGATCCACTAGCAAAGAAGTTGAGGAATTCAAGCAATCCAATAAAAGAAAACAAAGAACGGATACCTTTGTAGTCTTCCAGATTGAACACAGAAGAAAAGTCATCATTTTGTGCCTGCGGAAAGAAGAGAAAATAAAACAATTACCCTTAGTTATATACATAATTTGCACAAAAGTGAGAATAATTATTAAAAAAATCTAATTTTTTACAACAATAACAACACCGAAGCTATAAGTCTCAACTATTTGAGGTTTCTTAAGTCGCCATTAACATATGTAAAAAATCATATGTTTAGCTAAGTTCAGAATATTTAAATATTTATTTATAATTTATTTTTAAGTCTTTTTGGATCTTCATTTATCTCTTCTCGTGTCACTAACATTAATTACTTTATCTCTTCTGACTACCACATCTGGATGATAAGCCTTTTCACATGTTGTTACAGGTATCAATAATATAGTTTTCTTGGCTTTTTAAAATAAACCAAATTTTTAAGGGGAAAAAAGCATGCTGTTGTAAGCATGAATAATATAGTTTTCCCTTTTCCACTTAAAATTTAGCTTTTAAAAAAAACCAAATTTTTAAGTGGAAATATATTATTCATGCCTGCAACAGCTTGTGAAACATTAGCATTCAGTCATGTCATCATGCATACTTGTGATAGAAGTTCACTTGCAACACAAGTATTCAAACATGGAGGGGAAAAGATACTGTTGTTCTCTCCTTTTTATTGCTGCATGACACTGTAAAATTACGTAAATACGCAAACAATATTGCAGCAAAACAGCAGAAAATACAAATTCCCTGTCATTTTGTGTCAATATAATAGGAATTGTTATATCATCAGAACAGCCAAGTGGACACTCAGAGGAGCAAGGTACTTTACTTTCAAGCTGCAATCATAGTATTTATTATACAATTTTGGTTTAAAAAAACAGAATAATCAATTGATCCTTGGGTTATAGCATCACATCCAAGCTAGATAAAAAGAACATTTAAAAGCTTTGCAATTTTGCCACAGAAATAAAATCGTAAGAGTAACACATTGCTCACATCATTCTCAGCTCATGGATCATATCAGGATTTACTGGAACCTCCCTAATTTTTCTCAGACTTCCTCTTATTTTCTGTTTTCAATGTTCTTACGGATGAAAACTCTTCAATTTGACTTTTACAAACTTTAGGTTGGTAAATCACATGCCATAAGTGGTGATCCATATTTATTTAAAATTCTTCATAATCATAAGTTAATCTGGCCTTTTCATTAGATTATTTAGTTGCATGATATCTAAAAGATGGCCCAGTGCACAAGATTCTTGTCAATGTAGGGTCTAAGAAGAGTCAACACAAAGTCTTTACCCTCACAAGCAGAGATGCTATATCCATGTTTAGAATCATGGTCATCTAAGTTACTGAGAAGCAATCTTACTATGACACCAAGGCTCACCCTCAATTGTACTGTATCTCAATTTGTGAGAAAATCTGATAAACCCAGCCACCTTGGTTAAGTCCTTATAAACTTGGATAAGTTGGTCTAATTTTATGTTGTTTCCTACTCATGTCAAATATTGGAAAAAAGCATTTGCACTAGTTAACTTTATCAGCACCCCTCCCAGATGGGTTTGCAGTTAGCACCGATGTGAAATAGAAGTATATTATATAAATGTTCTAAGCATGATTCGTTTTATCGGTTTGTACTGATATACCAATTGGCCATCGGTATAGTATGAACCGAGTATACCAATGTATTAACACATGGTACGATGGGACATACCAACAGATTGGTACGTACCACCCGTACTAGCCCCCTATCGGACCGGTATGTACCACCTACACCAAGTGATATGCTGCGGCACAGTGAACCTTGGTTCTAAGGAGCATGAGTGAATCTAGCTAAATTCTCAATAGTCAAATCTAATAAATAAAATGGTTATAGATCGGTGGCAAGTACCGGTTGGTCAAAATGTGTTTTGCACTCAACCAGGCTGCACCTGCTTCATGGTATCAACTGAAGGCATATAGTAAATGCACAAATCTGAACATCAATCTACCTTTATCTACAGTGCTAAGATAAACTAAAAAAAGGATTGTTTGAATAAGAAAAATAAAGTCAATGAATGACAATTGATATGGCTCTGTCATATCAAAAAACCACACAGCAAGGCCTTGAAGAACTAAAGAGCCCCTTAGTTCATGGTCATTCCAAAATAATCAACCCTCCTGATTCCATAACATTGTACCTGAATCTGAAGCAGCAACTGCTCCTGTGCCTCAATATTTTGGGCAATTTCTTCACATATCTGATCATACTTAGATATCTCCTTCTTAAAGAGATCTTCTTGCGATCCAGTGCTTGCCATCAACTTTGGGAGTATATCATCCTGCAATGAAAGATATATAAGATTAGTTAAATGAGAAATTCCTACTGAACTTGTCATTACCTGTCAATAAAGGAAGTAGTGGTAGACATCGGAGAGAATTCTCCACATGTACAATTCATCAGAATATCATTGGCACCTTAGCCTAAATGTTATCTCCTGCTTTGTTTGGCATCAACTTTAATAGGACAAATATGTGCAGTCCCATTATGACTTTATAGAGTATGTGTACAGTAAAACAATGATATAAGACATAACCATGTTTATATGAACTGACATTTAGTTTTATTCTCAAGGAAAAATGTTGGTCGGTTCTGCTCCCATGACGTTGAAGTTGTTATCAAGGCAATATCTTAGTTGATTCTACTAACAATGATTTTCCAAAATCAGGACAACAACAAAACAAACATGGAACAACTAGTCAAAAGAACATGAAAGTCTAATATACAGTTCCAGGCAGAATAAGGTCTCAAGTCAAATTGATACAATTCGAATCTGATTATCTTTATGAGGAACCAACCTCTAATTAGAGCCCTAATTCACAAGCATGAAAAGAAATGGAAGGAACTGCACCATGTTGAAAATTAAGCGGGCACCCCAGAAAAACTAAAAACAACTATTGCCACAAAATTATTATTAACTAATCAAAAAGCACATTATTGTGAAGCAGTCTGTGCAGAATAATGACCTCCACCTTTTGCCTTGTTGCCTAACTTCCATGATTAGGTGAAACCTTGTTTAACTCCTCAGAAAAAAGAAAATACAGTGGTCCTCCACGCACCAGATGATACATGTTGTGACAGTTTTAAATAGTAATTATATGACAATAACCTAACTAAATTAAAACTTCCATGAGGTGTTTCTGAAAAAATGATGATCCATGGATCCAGCCTATGTTTGCCCATAAAATGAGCATTTTGCGAATATGCTGTGGATGAAAGATATAAATATTTCTCACCTTTCTCTTCATCTCTTTTAATATGTCTTCAAGACCTGCCCTCTGTGCACCTAGATTCTCCAATTGCCTCTGGTAGGATAAGGTTTTAAGTAACTTGTTAGACAAAGCATGGATACCAATCAAGAAAAGAAAACCATTAAGGAAATCTTCAGAATCATACACAATACTACTTTTTCTCATAGGCCTCATATTGGATGTCAAAAAGAATATCTCAAATAACAATTCAGCCAGAAATAAATCCAAGGCAAAAAATCAGCAAGAGTATATACAATCTGAACAACACTAGTCAAAATTAAGCACAAATGTTCAGTGTCATGGTCTTTTCCTGATTTTTGATTATGCAGCCCTTGCAGCTTTAAGTGTGTTGATTTAATAATTTATTCCCTAGTATTCAATGATTTAATTAAGACAATAAAGATGAAAAATGAAATGCCAATTTAATTTTTATCATATTAGAGCTAGTTAGTGTAATTCACATGTTGCAGATAAACTGCATGCAGGTGAAATTACTTTTAGTGAATACTCAATCAAGAAATGACACTAAAAATATGTATATTACTCATATTTGTGTCCTTTCAATATCTGAAAAGCTATTCAATTATATATAAATTGATAGTGATACAAACAGATAAGCATCAGAATGCAATCAGAAAAAAAAAAAATGAATCTCCCCTATAATTTCACATTGCAACCTATCAACCTAAATCTATAATTCACTTTAAATAGATGCAGGTGGTTAAAAACCTTCAGCAAGCTACCCCTGAGAAAAACAAATCAAAATAACAAAAGAACGGATACAAGATAAATGGGGCTCAGACATTAAGAAAATAGGAACAACCAACTCCTGAAAATTCAAGTACACAACTTATGGTTCCGCAATTACTGGAAAGAACATAAAGGAGGTTTAGTGATTAAAGTACCAAGCTCTGTTTAAGTGCTCCCACTATGGCATCTTCATTTCCATCCAAAGACATAATAGGCCTTGAAAGACTTGGAAGTGCTGATTCAATCTGTGACATATGTTTTTAAGTTAGACCAAAGAGGCTGGAAGCACAAAAACAATTACACACAATGAAGAAAAAAATTAAAGAAAGCTTGTAAACACCAGAAACCATAACGTATTATTGTCTTGTACAGTCTTAGTGAAATAATTAAAACCGGATCCAACATCAAAAAGAAAGAAAAGGAAAGGTTCATTTTTGTCAAGCTGTTATGATGAAATTGCATCCAGAGCAACCAATGTTTAACTCTTAAGTAATGGCAATCACAATAAAAACAGTAGAAGGTCATCATTTTGGTTCTGTTTGTTGAAAAGAACTTGCCCATGCCTATAATTCATTGATTTAAAAGTAAACAAGTTTTGAACAAAAAATGATACACATTTTTAGAATGACAAACCTACCGGCCTGTGATCAAGCATTGCCATCAGGTTGAAATTGTCTCTCATAGCCCGTTCTATCCTTGCATCACTATCAGCAGCTTGTTTAAGATTTGCAGCAAACTTATTCAATCTATCCTGCAGGTTCTTTGTCAGCACGCTCGACTGAGTTCTGGTCCACCTTGTCCCAAATTGAGTTCGGAATTGTGCATCCTCATCTGCTTCCTTCTTTAGTAACTCTTCGGTCTGGACCAAGAGCTCCTGATTGACTCTCCTTAAGTCTTTGAGTTGCTGAAGCTCAGGTTCCAGCCCAGAAGGGCCACCACTTATCTGGACCACTTCAACATCCTCCTTGAGATCCAAGGGCAAACTAAAGTTACCTTCCAATGCTAAGATAGAATCAGGTAGGTCCATCTCTTTGAGCTTAACTCTTGTTATCTCACTTCCTTGCTGCAACTTTTCTGCTTGTGTGCGAATGATGTCGTCGACCATATCTGTATATCTGGATAGAGCCTTTGTGCTGCTGTCTGGAACAAGCCTTGAGAACAGACTCTCCTTGCTAGCATCTAGAACTTCAGCCATTGATGTAGGCTTCACAAGAGAGGCTGCAGGCAGAGCAGTCAAAGAACTTGCTGCTGGAATCCGCATGAGATAGACCCGATCATTTTCTTTTGTAGCTGTCTCCAGGTTCTGGTTCATATTAGTTTCTAGTTTGTTAACAGCATCAAGCAGAGGTTGAGCAACACCCCTGGCAGATTTCTTTGCATCGGCAAGGGCACTTATCCCAATCCTCAGCCTACAAATCTCTTCGGCAATTTCCTCCTTCTCATGAAGATCCAAGGAGTATCTATAGCAAGCCTCTGCATAAAATTGGGCTGCCTTAAGTTGCACATGAGATATCCATGTACGTTCAAAGTGCTGGTTGAGTGGTGGAGCATTCAGAACTGCATAGGCTTCCTCATAGTAGAGGCCAACCTGCAGCGTGGAAAAGTTTCTACGAAATTAGAGTTTATTGAAATTTCTAAAAATCAATGGTATCACAGACAATACCAGAATTATTTTAGGGTAATAAATAAAACAATATTTTTAACACAGAAGGATAGATATGAATATTGCAGAAAAAGAACCACAAGTAATAATGAAGGAACACGGCCACAGAATCCAACCTTTGAGTGCCACTAAGAAAAGCCCAAATAACTTAACTCCCATGGTGCATTCTTGATTTACCTACAATGGCGTCTGGTGACTTTAATTTACAAAAAATATCATCATAATTTGCACACTAGCTTATAATATTCAAAATTCAGTTTTAAAAAACCAACTTCTACAAACATCACATTAACCATCTTTGAACATCTTCATGAAAATCAAGAACTCGACAATATCATCCTATTTCAGTAAATTTAATCTCTATAAAGATTTACCTACATGAATTAGAGTGAAATGCAATTAAGAAAAGCAAACAATTAGTCATAGTGTGTTTCCAATATTAGATTAAATTCCAAATTCAGCATAAAGAATTTCCTACAAGGTGAGTCTTGAAGTTTAGGAAAAAAGCTACACCTACAGGATCAACTAAAGAAGGCATCATCAAAGAAGAATCCAAAGTATATGAACTCGAGATCAAAGCACAGGGAAACCCAAAGGTTTCAATCACCTGGCGGGCGACCTTGGAGCAGAGAGCAGGGGGCTTCGCATCCCCGATGACCTTCTCGAAGAAGCACTCTTGGGCCTGCGCCAGCATGAGCTTCTCCAGCATCCCGGCACACTCGACAGAGAGATCGACGGTGGCTCCGCCGGCAGTAGTAGCCCTGCCAGCAGCATTATCCCGGAGGTAGGCAAACGCTCCGGCAGCGGTCTGGAAGGCGTTGCAGGCCTGCTTGAGGCCTGCGGCGTCGGCGCGGTCGGCGGAGAGGGCGATCTGGCTGTGTACGGCGCCAAGGTTGAAGAGGACAGCGGCCTTCTCGAGGTGGATGGACGTTTGGGCGGCCTTCTTGGCGGGCTTGAAGGCGTCGAACCAGGTGAAGGTGAGGGTATGGACGTGGTCACGATCGGGGGAGATAGGGAAGCGGGGCTCGATGACGGCGAGGGCGCGGTAGTAGGACAGGAGATTGTCACGGCGGAGGCTGGGAGATGCTGCGGCGTTGGGGGGCTTCTCGAGATCGAGGCGGAGCTGGCGCACCGCGTCGAGGTCATCCTCCACCGCTTGCGCCTCCTGCTCGCCGTAGGTGACGGCGATGTACTGGCGGAGCGGCCTGTATAGGTCGACGGCGACCGTCTTCTTCTCCTGCACCGCCAGCATCACGTTCACCCCTGTCGCGTACGACATCGTTGGGCTCGCCTCTCTCTCTCTCTCTCTCACCGATCGCGTCGCACTTGGAGTTTACTTCGCGACGAAGAAGAAGACGACGACGCAGAATGGAGGATGAGATCGAGGATTTGGGGGTTGGAGGTTGACATTAACGCGGACAGATGTGATCCGTACTTACTTATTTTATTTTTACTTTTCCTAAAATAAATTAATAAATTGTATAAATTAAAATAAAAATATACTGTATGATAATTAACTCATTTATTACTTAAATTCTAAGTAACCATAGTTTACGTATCTAACGACTATAAATCCATTCAATTTGTTTTAGACATCCGATATGATTCTGTTTCTTTTCTAACCAAAATGCCTATTATAAATTAAGCTGTTAGCATAATTTAGAATATTTGTTCTTTTAATGAGTTCATGAAAAGACAATGAATGAACTCTAAATCTAATAATTTTTTATAGAGATATTTTCATAACGTAAGTTTAAACCAACAATTTGCAGCTGTCATGTAAGAATTTTATGGTTCTTTAAACTGACGCAACATAAATCCATTCGATTTGAATCGGTCATCTGAATGAAAGGCTATAAATAGTTTTGATTTGAGGGATTTTTTATTCAATTAATTGATTTGGATGGAATGAAATTAATTTTAATTTAAAAAATTTCAATCCAATCAAGTTAATTTTAATATTTATATTTTTATAAATAATATGGAATCATTTGGTCGATCGATCACATTGTCGCGGACAAAGTTGGATGTTTGATATAGTACTTATGTATGTCCGTATTTTTCTGTTTGTTCATGCTGTGCACAGCATGTAGAGGAACGGTTGAAGACTTAACAGTCTTATTTTAGTTAGGTTTGGTGACCTTCTTAGACTTGTAAATAAAGGTAGTATCATATATACACTTCTGAGAGATATTCAATTATGAGAGATATTCGGTCTATAGTGGATCATTTTGACCCTTTGTTGTGCAACTGTTCAGAGCTTGTAAAGTCTGTTTATAATTTGTATTATCTATAAAGTATTTTTTTAAAGTCTGTTTTTAATTTATATTATCTATAAAGTGTTTTTTTTTAAGTATGTTTATAATTTGCATTATCTATAAAGTGTTTTTTGAAATGTTTGCTTGTGAATCAATAGTGAGACGTTTTCTCTGATCTGTTTTTTCTTTTGTAAATCCTAAGGAACTATGAGAGGCTTCGAGGAGGCTAATCTTTGCGGACGAACACACAAGGGTACCGCACAACTTAGGCAAAACTAGCTAAGTCGGTGATAATATAATCTTTTATCAGATTAACACTAGAAAGAGGGCTCGAGATCTACACCTCGAGAGCATTGATAAGATCATTTAATCTCATACTGATTGAGGAGTATGGAAATCAAGATAGTGATTAAAAAAATTTATCATGATTAAGAACATAAGGTAGTGTACGGATTAATATTTTAAATTAAAAATCGATTTATTTCGATCCAAATTGATTGATGGAACTGAGCTATTGATGAACTAATTTAGACCGAATTAGTTGTAGATTAGTTTGATTCTATTTTGCTTTCAAGACTTGAATACACTACTGATTAGGACTCATCTGATTAAAAATCATAATAAATTCTATATGCTAGCCATCTATAATTTTCATTAGTCTCTCTCGACCAAAACAAATGATTTGCTTTCTGGAGTAGTTTATTTGATTGGTGAACAAACACTAATATTATATAGTTGCCTGTCTATAAACACCATGGCAATTCCACTGCCCCAAGTAGCCATTAATCTCCAGTTTGTTCATCACAGATGAACAGACAGAGCAGCCCTCCTACGTGAACACCTCTGATAGGACTTGTGGAAGCCACACAATGGCCTCCAAAGATGGAACTTTGGAGGACAAATCGAGCTACCCATCAGTATCATCTTTCTGGTTCACCAGCACACCTTTGTCCTGGATCATTCTGATTCATCTTTTGCAGGCCTTCATCAATCATTTATTTCCAATCAACGGAACCCACAGCACCCCATTCTGCCTTGGATTGTCTGAGGAGTAGACTTGTCTGTGCTCATGAAAACAATGCTCATCACATGTCCAGCTGAGAACAGAGTCTGTACTGTGAACTAAAGTTCTGTGCTATCGATGATTGGGGTTTGGAAAGGAAGTTATGCTCTGTTTGGTTTTGGACAGAATTGAAATGCTGTGGGGAAGATGCTGAGGTGCAGGAGAACAGTTTCCTAAAAACAAGGAGAACAAAGAAGATGCCTCTTGTTCAGGCATTTTCTGCTTTCAAAGGAGCATTTGGACAATAATTAGGGATGGAAAGCTAAATGTTTGATCACATAAAGAAACCACAAACCTGTTGAGGTGTAACCAATCCATCTCTCTTTTTCCATGGAGCTTCCAACAAAAGCATGGATGAAAAGATGGTGACAACATGGATGCAGCTTTCTTTTCTCTATTCCTGAGAACAGATGAACTCCTAAGCTAAAAAATATACACACATATATTCAAATTTTTTTAGAGAAATAATCCAAATGATCAAAGTTAAAAAAAAAAAAAAAGAGTTTGGCTCAAGTTGTTAGATTTAGATTATGGTCTTATTTAATTAGATAAGACATATCATAGATCTCATTAGAATATGATTACAATTATCTATAAACATAAAAAAAATTATTTATAGTCGATTATAATTTATTCTCATCTTCTTTAGTTCATATTTAGTTCATATTTTATCATTAATAGTATATTATGGATCGGATTATGAAATATATTTTTGGATCAAAGAAATATTTTCTAAATAATACTTTAAGGTACGCAAATGTAATCTTCCATCTAAACTTATTAGATTTTAATTCTTGACATTAAAGTCTTTTCCACGTAATATAGCATGATTATAGTTTTTATGCTCACCGTATCATTTACTGTTTTGAAATCAAATACCTTAGATCATAATATATTATATTTTTTTATATTTAAATATATTTATTAGTATCATTGGCTTGCAAAAAAATTATTATCTAATTTTGATTGTATGATGCTTAGACAATTCATCTAGATAGTATCCCTATCTTGTAAAGCTGGTCATATACATTATCATTCCCGAGTCATATCCATAATATACTATTATATTTATTTTTATATTTAAATATATTTATTAGTATCATTGGCTTGCTATTATCTGATTTTGATTGTATGATGCTTAGACAATTCATCTAGATAGTATCCCTATCTTGTAAAGCTACTCACCTATTAGCCTAGATGAGGTGATTGAGTGGCTGCCATTATAATGACGATGAACAAGGGATTAGGGTTTTTAACCCAATAAAATAAAAGGTGCTCTTGCCCTCTTCAAACATATTAATTCTAGTCAATATCCCTTTTGATAATTTTATCCTTTAAAAAATAGATATTTTTAATATATATTCTGATAAAATTATAATTTTTAAAAAATAAATATTTTTTGACTTATTGTCCTCGATTATAAATTTTGACTAATTTGACATACTTTAATCAAATTTTGATTCAAGCCCAATTTTAACCTTTTTTTATCAATTTATTTCTAAATTAGATTTTGATTGAGTCGAACTTTTATTAGTTTAATTGGTTTGGCTATTGTGTCTAATCTAGACTAATTAGTCTAGTCCAATTTGAATCGGCCAATTTAGATTATTTATAAAATTAAAAATATAAATTATTGTATTTCTTTCATGGTTTACTCATATGATATATTGGTAAAATTTTATTTATGATACTTCAATTTAATTATTGTTTTAGATATTTATATAGAGTCACATGTTTATAATTATAAAATAATATTTATTTTTTGTAAAAATATATGATTTATATTTTATCATGATTAGATTCATTATACGAGTTTTCTTTTATATTGATTAATATTTAATAATTATTATTAAAAATAAATTTGAGTATACAAGTCATTGATTGACATATTAATGATAGAACTAACTATGACTCTAATAGCATTTGAGGGATTCAAGATTACATCATTAATATGACTGTAAAGCTTAAAATATTAGACATGAATATTAATATAATTTGGGTATAATATATTATAGATCTGATTAGATTCTAATCATCGATATCAGCCAATAAAACAAAAGTCCATTCATAATAGAATTTCTTGAGAGATGTCTTAATTACAATGACTTTCTTAATTACTTATTTTAGATTTTTTACTCTTATCCATAAATAGATTGAACCTTCTAGGGACTATGTATATGTATGAGATAATACAATACGGCACAAGATTATAGATATATATTCATCTTTCTCTAATTCTTATTCCATTGCTCATGAAATATGAAGAAAAAAAAAATCTAGTTGTACATCTTTGCTAGTTATTCTTGGATTAAAAAAAAAAATTCTGAATTGCATTCAAAGATACACACATCTAATCTTCCATCTATAATTATTAGATTTTATTTTTTGACATTAAATTTTTTTTTTGGCACAACAATAACATGAGTATAGTTTTTATGGTAGCCACCCATATCCAATCCATATTTCTATCACATGATTAATTCTCAAGCACATGATTTTGCTGCAGTTATGCTGTCAGATTTCAAGATTAGTCGCTTTCTTAGGCGCGTGATTTGTCGGCCTGTGGACTTCCAGAGTTCTGAGCTGCTGAAAACAGCACTTTCAATCAGTTCTTGTAACATGAGGAGAGCAGTAGCATCTTAGAAGCTCCTCCAAAACATGATCATGGCCGACAGGGGACCTCACTGTGGGCAAAGTTTGCGAGTGCTTGGAGCAGAAACCGGTAACATGGCCTCAGCCTCTGTTCCTCGACTTCAGAATCCCATGTCTGATGCCGGATTGCTGTTCTACAAGATGCAATCATTGCAGAAGTCAACATCTAGCATCGAATCCTTTTCTTTTTGCTCTTTTTTTCCAACCAAGAGATGAGATTTTCTCCAGCATTGTTTCTCCACAGTAAAATGCTGGAAAGATTGTAGGAAGCAACAGCTAAAGAACTGACTTCAGAAAGCAATGTTCCTGCAGGCCTTATGAATCTGGTTGCAGTCAAGTTTATACAGATAAAACCAAATTATCAAGTAATTCCACATCTCTGTTGGAGATTTGGATGCTGAGAATGGTGGAGCTGACTCTTCTGACTAATGCTCTTAGTGCTTTTTTTTGGTTTATGGGAATTATCTCTCACCAAGGACCATGTAAAAGAAGAAGTCAAGCAAGTCAAAGACATGGCCAAAGTGAGGAAGTCAAGGAAGTTGACATGCTTTCTCTAACTTGCAGGTGGGTGGCACAGGAATGATGAGTGCAGGTCAGATGCAGGAGTTGGCTGGCACCCTCAAGAACATGGATGGAGATGGTGACTCTCTGTCCTGTAAAAAATGATGCATGCAAGCTTTGCTGCAGCAAGATGTGGGCTCAAGCTTGCAGTGAAGGGACAAACAACAGAGAACAAACTCATCAATCCACATCATTTCCAACAAAGGCACCAATAGCTTCTGAAACTGGTGGAAAAATGAGGAACACTGATCAAAATCTCTGAAGGTTAACTTTGATTGTCACTGGACAATTAATATACCAACTATAGATTCTCTCTGCAACATCTGTCTCGGTTTAAACATGAGTTTCTATACAAATATCAGATCATGTGGCTCCACATGAGATCCATAATGGATCCCAGCAGAAGCTAGAAGCTGCCATTCACCAGCAGCTCAGTGGAAATGGTTCAGCCAACTCAGTAGCATTCATATCTTCCTAGGTTTCCAACTATTTTCATACATCTCTCCCTGCAAAGTTCACCTCTGACCTTTGTACTACTTTTTTCTGTACACTAAAAAAAGACAACTATGAAACCTCACCATCAACAGCTTGGCATAGATCAGGTGAGGTAGTTCTGGCCATCGACTGTCACAATGTCATGCACTGGCCCATGTTCATAGGAACAACATGTATCGATCCATTTAGCAATGCTAACTCATGAACATAAACCTATTACCGGGGCATAATAAGATCAGCTTGTGAGGTTTTGAGTTCAACAAGTGCGTCTCTCTTTCCATGTTTCACTTCCTCGAACCATTTTGCATGATTACAAAAAGAAGCTACACACTCCATGATCACCTTTTCATCATGGAATGCCTTCATCTTCCTTCTTTTCTCTTTAAATCCAGCTGGATGCTGTTCTGTCACTCCAAGAAAGAACAGTGGAGGTGGTGGTGCACGGTGGAGGGACACCTAGAAACTGTGGTCTGCAGTGGATGACCTCTGTTCTCTCCTCTGTTCCCAAGCACAAGTCTCTTTTCCCTCTTTTTTCTCATCATGCAGCTTGGGCACCACATGCAGCACCAACTTTTGGGAGGAACAAGGAAGAATGATGAGTTGCATTTGTGATTGCTTCATGTTCATCAGCAAAAGAAAGGTCCCACTGAGTATTCCTGAGTAGCATCTAATTTCACAATCGAATATATTTATATTCATTAAGATTTGAAGTAACCATGGATCAAAAAAGCTTTTGCTTCTTGTCTTCTTCCCCCCACTGTGCCACACTCGATCTCACAAATAGGAACAGTAGCCTCTTTGCCTCTGCCAATGAACATAAATGCTGGTCAGTGGTAGCTGCAGTATCACACTACTAAATTAGTTGTCTTCCTCCTTGTAAGCTCTGCCACTCTTATTGGCTGCAAGGAAGAGATAGATACCTAATGCAGTGAGGTCAAATTCCAACACAAATTTATAGGCTTTTTGGTGCAATTTATAACCCAAGTTTAGCTTCTTGTCATGCTTACTTGTTTGACAAGCAATGGAATGCAAGTGGCATCATTTTACTGCAGACACTCAAGAGAACAATAAAAACAGAGCATTTTCATGTATCATTCCAACTAAATACAACACTTTGTGAAATGTCAACCTATGATAATAAAAGCAATAATAAATCACATTGTTCATGCTCATGTTGATCATGACAAGACTAAATGATTGAAGAAGTATGATGGACATATCCCTCATGATCAGAGACCATCATCATCTAATCAACTCTGATATCACATCTCACAAATTTTGATTCTTTTTACTGTAAACCTTTTTTGTCTCTGCCTTAACTTTTCTATTAAAGTTACTCACACCTTCCTCAACTTTACAAGATGCTAATTGATCAATCATAAATGTTTGTCATGGTTTAACTCTTTATCTATAGTGAAAACTCTGTTCTGTGAGTAAGATAGTTCGATCCGAGGAGTTTGTGCAAAGCCATCAACCAGAGCAAATGTACCACCAAATCCGGCAAGATCAATCCATGAGTGTTTAGTAGTTGTCATATTAATAGGTTAAATCAAGCAAATCCAATCTTATAACATGGGATTATCACTGTTCTTTTTTTCTTTGTCTCTATAAAATATCAGCAACATTGTAGGTGGAGATGATGAGAAACAGAGAGGTGGCCACATTTCTTTGGCATTATTTGTGTTTTTTATTTATTTAACATCTAAATAAATATTTAAAAATAAATAAAAAATATACAACACTCTTACTATGTCATAATTTCTGTTTTATAAGATACATATAATAAATATATCACTTACTATGTCTTATTTAAAAATATCTAAAATTGACGTATCGAAACCTATCCGAACAATCCGAAAAAAAATTATTTATGACATTAGTAAAATTCCAAGGAAAATATTAGGATTTATAATTGAATATATGATTCGTTTAATTAACTTATTTAAAATTGTAATAATATTAAAATATTTTTAATTGATTTATTTAAAAATGATATAATATTAAATACTAATATATTTGGCGACGACGTCGTCCCGTTTCTCTTCTCTATATAACTCCGCGGAGGCCAAACCGCTTGGAGCGTCGCGGCGTTATCGCCATCTGGAATGCCAGTATGACGGGCAACCACGCGGTGGCGGAGGAGGTAGAGGAAGAGGAAGAGGAAGAAGAGGAGTTCTACGAGTCCTTGGACCGGATCCTTTCCTCGTCCTGCTCCTCCACCTCCGCCTCCGACGACGACGCTGACGAAGTCCGTTCCCGCCGTCCCTCCCCTCCCCCGCCGCCCTTGTTACCCTCGCTCGACGTCTGGACCTCCGAGCCCGCTTCAGTCGCGGAACGCCGCCGCCTCCTCCTCCAGCGCCTCGGCCTCGCCGGCGACGCCGCCCTCGCCCGCCCCGCCGCCGGCTCCGACGGCCGCGGACACTCTTCCTCTGTTGATACACCCGACCCTCCGCACCTCCCCCGCCAACAGCAGCATCAGAGATCGATCAATCTGCTGGACTCCCGCAAGCTCCCCCTCTCCTCGAGATCTCGGCCCTTGTCCGCCGTGAATGTCAGGCTCTCCGGCGGCGACGACCACAGGTGCTTGATCAAGAATCTTGACAACGGGAGGGAGTTCGTGGTGGAGGAGTTCGGGCAGGATGGGATGTGGAACAAGTTGAGAGAGGTCGGGACGGGCCGGCAGCTCACGATGGAGGAGTTTGAGATGTGCGTCGAAGGATCGCCCATCGTTCAAGAACTGATGAGGCGGCAGAAGGTTGAGGCGGCCCGGCAGCACGGTGGGTCTGGCGGCGGGCCGCGAGCCGATGGACCCTCCAAGGAACGGACGCGGTCGAAGAAAATAGCAAGTTGGCTCAGGCGCATCAGCAACGTGGCAGGAGCTACGATTGCCAGAAGGCACCATCAGGACCGTCGGAGTGGCGACGAGAAGGATACATCGTCTGAGACTGGAGGGAGAAGGTCGAGCTCTGCTACCGATCACAGCCAGGACGGTTCGCATGGTCTCGACCTTCGTGTCAAGGTTTGGCAGTACGGGAAGTCCCACAAGGAGCTCAGCGGTCTGTACATGAGTCAGGCGATTCAGGCGCATAATGGTTCCATCTGGAGCATCAAGTTCAGCTTGGATGGCCGGTACTTGGCTAGTGCAGGAGAGGACTGTGCCATCCATGTGTGGGGAGTTTCTGAGATCAATACAAAGGGGGACTCGTTGAGAGTGGCAGAGGAGAATGGGAATTCTAAACCCTTTGCTTTGTCAATCTGTAATCGTCCACCAGATCCAACATCAGTGTTGCCCGGTGCTGAAGGAAGCCATTGGGATAAGAAGATAATAGCAAAGTTCCATGGTGGTCGGAAATCGGTTATCTCCGACCCTGTTATGATGCCGGAGCATGTGTTTGCTTTGTCGGAGAAACCAGTGTGTTCTTTCCGAGGCCATGCTGATGATGTCCTTGATCTCTCTTGGTCAAAATCACAGGTAAATATAGTTATGCTATAATTTTGAGTGATTTCCAGTATTTAAATGCCATGATAGAAGCAAAAGTTGCAATTCTTAGATTTGAGCAATATGAAGAATCAAATCATACTGTCCTGTCTTTCTGGATACATGCAACCTAAATGGAGTTAAGAAATGGAATTGAACCTAAATCGTTAAAAATGGATATCAGTGCTCCGAATAATTGGCTTTGGTAGCAAAAGAAACAATATCTGGACTTTGAGGGGTTTATGTTTGATGGAATGAGAACATGAAACTTGATGGAACCATTAGGAATTAGAAAACAATGAAAAGTTAGAGGGAAATGCATATATATACCCATGAAGTTTCTCTCAGAAAATTAGGATATTTCAAGCATGTACTATTGTGCAGGTCAGAATTTTACGTATCAAAGCGATGTATAGCTGAGAGGAATCATCCTAACAGACTTCCACAAATTGCTAGGAACGGATGTGATTTGTTTCTTTCGGCTGCGTAATTATGCTAGATTTCTACAATAGCAAAATGCTTTCAGCTAAACAAATTTAGCTTTCACATTAAGCTTGAATGGTATTATTATAGGTTGGCTTTTTAGTGTGCAATCACAGGCAAAAGGGTTATGGCCTTCTAGTTCAAGTTAACTGTGCTCTTTCAAGACCCATTAAAATTCTTCCGTATGCGGATATATGGAACAACATGGTGTTATCTTTTTCATACAACTGATGCATTTTCAATTTTTGGTACAACAAAGCAATGAGGCTGTTTTTCGGTGCACCAAATATTTTACAAAAAAAAATCTTTTTCTTGAAAATTCTTTTTACTGTGCTTGTTTTATGTATTTATGAGAAGTGAACTTTTCTTTTTTTATTTTTTCTAAAGAAATATTAAACGAGAATGTCTTCACTTTTATGTGTCTTTTCAACATATCTTTATACAGAGAACATATGTTACTTCAATATCTTTTTTTATGCTTACAGTCCAAGAAACTTATTTTCATGGAAAATATTTTATTTTCCTACTTTTTCATTGCATCTATACCTATCGTGGTTGAATTTTTCTTAGTCCTTTTCCTTCTTTCGTCTCTTTTTTATGTCCTCTACTATTCAGTTCTTCGTCATCTTTTGTTTTCTCTTTGCCACTTCTTCCTGTCTTAGGACTATTTTTTTTTCTCTTTGTGGGCTAAGATCTGCGTGCACAACCATTTTAAGATTTCTAAAACAGTTATTGTAGAAGATACACAAATTATGACAAAATCCATATTATGCTGAGAATTGCACACTCTCTAGGAAGAATTAAAAGTTTTTTTTCTAGCTCATACCAATATTTTACTAGCCAGTAGGTATTTCTAAACATCAAGAGGTTGTTTCCGTGGGTCTCCTAAACCATAAAGAAGTAATTTTATCATTATACCAAAGCCTGTCCTCGGTAGTACTTTTGATAGGATTTATAGTTTTTGAATCATATGGAAACTTTTGTTACTTAGGACCAAGGTCTGTCGTACCGAAGCGTATTGTTTGTATCAGGCGGTATGTACCGGTCCGACAGGTTACTATTGTTTGTATCAGGTGGTACGTATCGGTCCGACAGATTACTGGTACGCGGATCGCACTATATTACTACAGTGCTAAGTACTATACTATAGCACTGTTGTAATATAAAAAAATAAAAAATTATTCGGTACAACATGATGTATCACCCGGTACACTAGTACCGTATTATATCAAGACCGGGTCAAAATGCCTGTACGGTATGGTACAACGAATCTTGCTTAAGACTGTTTTAAAATTTATCTTAAGATAACTTTAATATTGACCGGGAGGTTACATTCAGTAAAAAGGTTTAAAGTGTTGATCATGTTATTATTTTAAATTGTTTGCTTTGCAGTATCTTCTGTCATCTTCAATGGACAAGACTGTTCGACTATGGCACATGTCTAGCAATTCCTGTTTGAAAATATTCACACATAGTGACTATGGTAACTTTGGTTTGTTTTTTTTTTTGGGTATGCTTGCTTCCTGGTCTACCTAATGTCTTCATGATTCTTCTTAAATTGTGTTGATGCAGTGACTTGCATCCAGTTCAATCCTATTGATGACAGGTATTTCATCAGTGGATCCCTGGATGAGAAGGTCCGGATATGGAGTATTCCTGACCCTCAAGTTGTTGATTGGAATGATTTGCATGAGATGGTCACTGCTGCTTGTTTCTCTCCTGATGGACAGGTAACATACTTGACACTAAAGGTTCCACCTTGTTGTATGAGTTGACAACTTAGATTTCATTGTGTTATTTGTTATTCATGAAGGCTGCTCTGGTTGGTTCACATAAGGGGAGTTGCTACTTGTATGATACATCTGGTATGGAGCACACAACATCACACCCTATTTAAGATTGCCCTATCTCTTGTATTTAATCCTTTTGATGGTCTTATTATTTATATAAATCTCTTTTGTTCAGATAACAGACTTATCGAAAAAAGACGAATCGACCTAGAAAACAAGAAAAAGAAGGCCGCACACAAGAAAATTACTGGGTTCCAGGTATTTGCATTATCCTTTTTTTTTTTTTACTTCTAAGGTGTTAAGTTTGAGCAGCGGCGTTCAAATCTAAGGAAAAAATAGAACCGAACTCGAAATGAACCTAAATCGAACCATTTCATCAATAATTTAGTTTTTAGGGTTATAATTATTCCAATTTAGGAGGGTATTCTTCTTTAATTTAAAAAATATCAACTTATGTTTATCACTCTTCCTTCGTTGCTATGGCTCTTTATCCTCGCCCCTTGCTTAGCCTTGTTCTATCATATCAAGTATAAATCTTTTTTTTTTGTCATTAATTAATAATCCTTTTATTGATTTGTATAAATTTCTTCATTAATTTATACACATCACTGTATATCCTCATCATAAAAAAAAATATGTATATATACATGCATACATACATGTATATTTATGTATACATATATGTATGCATGTATATATGTATGTATACATATACATACACACATATATATAATTATTCATTTCAAACCTCTTTGAACACCCTGGTGGGAGCTCCCACATAGTAATGAGCACCCCCATCTCATCTTTCTTATCAAATGCCATTGTAATCGATATTGTTAAGCTCACCAGCTTGATTAACAGTTTGCTCCAGGGAGCTCCTCAAAGGTGCTAGTTACATCTGCGGATTCGCGAGTCCGGATAATCGCTAATGAGGAACTTATCCACAAATTTAAAGGTAGATATTTCCAAATTATGACCCTTTTAGAAGCATGTATGGCCTACCTTTATATCACAGAGCATTCTATTTTTATCAACTTTGGAGAGTGGAACTTATGTGCACAACAATTATCGCTCTGTAGGATCGTTTTACTGCTTCACCTGCTTCTAAGGCAAGAGCATCGTGAATGGATAAGATCATACATTCTTAATCCCTTGTCCTTTGGATACACTTGCACTAGAGCACAGAAGAACTTTTCTTTCTGTTTTCCAATGACATTATCCATAGATCAAATTACTAGCAACCAAATCCAGGTGCTTTCGTTTCTGTAATTTGTGCATAATTGCATACCTCGTTGAAATTTGTCGATTATAGGCTTCTTCCAGTATGGTAAAGACAGCAGTGATCCAAGGAGTTCATTTTGTGCATACAGGAGTAAATTAATTCCAATTTGATCTAGACAATGCTCTATTTCTATTGACTGCCACTGGCAAAAATCTGTCCTTTGTTCTTTAAATTGTTCTTAGAGACTCATCATATCCTCTCTTTCTTTTTCAGGGTTTCGCAACACAAGCAGCCAAATCTCAGCCTACTGGACTGCCAATGGCAAATATGTTATCTGTGCCAGTGAGGATTCTCATGTATATGTATGGAGATATGATAACCAGTTGCAACCAAGCCGCAGCAAAACTCCTGCAAGTGTCACGCGGTCTTACGAGTATTTCCACTGCCAGGGTGTCACGATGGCTATTCCTTGGCCAAGCACAGGAACAGAAATGATGAACAGAGCTCACTCCAGTGAACAGCTTGTGTTTAATGAGGAATCAGATGCCAATGGACATCATCGTTCATCTTCTCATGGTTACCTTACCATTGGGTGTCAACAGAAAAACAACATTCTCACTCCAAATTCAAGTCACTCCTCTGATAGGGTTTCTGCAACTTGGCCCGAAGAGCTCATGGCTCTTAGGCAGAGCCCTCAGAGTGACGGTGATCTTTTCGGCAGACGCATGCCGGTGCAAAATACATCAGCCTGGGGATTGGTGATTGTCACTGCAAGTCAATGTGGCGAAATTAGAACTTTCCAGAATTTCAGCTTTCAATTTCTGACATGATTTTTGTTCAGCAGCCTTTGAGCAATACTCATTACTTCCACTGTAGTTTTGTGTACAGATAGTTGGATATTTGGCAGAGATCTGTGACATATAATGGCAAGAGAGAGTACCAATCCAGCAACTCAGAGATCTCACCACAGCAAGGATTCTTCTCAAGTGTACAATAAAGCAGAAGCTAAAGATGGTGGATGATCGGTCCTCCTTGGTAATCTTCCTTCTTTTTTTTCCTTTTTCTTATCACCGCAACCATGTTTTAGGGATACGGTGTTCTTGTGAAACCTCTCTCCACCATTCTTTTATTTTATTCTGTACAAAAGAAACAAAATGTGAATGCTGCAAGAAAATTGCACATATTAGCAGACGCTGGAAGGAGATTTAGGAAAGCAATAAAGATCATTGTTTCTCACTGAACCTGAGTGGATCATGTTGTCCAAAACCTCACCACATCGGACAAGCCATATCGCCGGCATTGCCAACCACCTCATTCTTCCTCTGGCCGCAGCTGCCACAGTCGATCTGTCCCTGTGAAGGACTCATCGATAAACCATGAGTTGACAGACAAAAGAGACCTTCTTTGGGTGAACCACAAGTAGATTGACTGGTGATAAATGCTTGGTGGGAGATTTGGATGCAGCTGCATTGACCTTTTGATGTTTCTACCAAATTGTTCCAGCATAAGATATCCAGCAGCTAAACATCTATTGCCCTGCCATGGTCTCTATACAGGACGAACGAAAGCTAACCCTCCGTGAGTTTAGCAGCAAAAGTAATCACTACTCTTTCTCCATTATCAACAAAGAAATGAAAAGCAAAGACACTTAAATCTATAATCCACAGGCTGATCGTTTGCTGATGGTGAAAAGCCGCCAGAGGCTAGCAGATTACACATCTCGGAAGCCACCAGAGCCAATTTGTCCTTGTTGATCAGGCTGCAGAGTTGCTACCTCGCAGTGAATGATAAGCAGTAAGGTTATGTCAAGAGTGATGTGCCCAACACTGATCATGGAGCAAATGGACATGATGCTTCAAGTGAATCTAATATTCAACCGTGCACAACTGCGAGATATCAAGACAATGTTCATCTGTCCGCCAAGGTGATTATGGAGCAAAAGGAAGCAATCCATCCTGAAAATTTCATGCCAATTGAAAATCAACATGCTGCTTCGAGTGAAGATCAACAGCACAATCACGTCTAGTAATCCTTGACCGCACAAAGAACTACAAGAACATGCACCAACTCAAGCTATTACCTTCTTTCTGAAGCTGCCATGTGACGGAATTGGCAATGACAAGTCGAGTCGACTTACCAGCTTTTAGCAAATGGCAAATGCATTGGAGATGACCTTCTTGACCGGGAAGGTAACTGATTTCCTTCACGGAATCACCCAATCATTAGGCAACAAGGTGGTGCCATGACATATGTACAACCAAATGCTCATTTACTGAAGATAATTTGCTGGTTGTGCCCGAAAATGGATAAGATTTAGCTCTTTCTCCTTTGAAAACCTTTCCAGCATCAAGAGTCAACAATCTTTCTTAGTTCCCTACCAGAATCCAACTGGCTTGCTCTTCTGATACATAACAGAACCATGGAGGGCAGATTATAGTGTAGTCATCAAGGCACAGGAGTTTCAGTTTTGGAGTATCCTCCTGATGGAAGTCTCTGCAGTACCCATGAAAATTCTTTGTTAAAATGCTTGTTTGGCATTATCGATAGTGACCTGAGAATGAAAGAAAAGGAATCGAAGATATCAAGCAATTGCAGTTTTTATTTATTACTGGTTTGTGTGATTTTAATAACAAAATAGTATCAAACAAAAGGTTTATACCATAATACAGGTCTAGAAATTTAGAATATGGGGTAGAAACCAAAATAGAGACTATTAGAGATCACGATTTTTTTTTTTGTTTAGAATGAAGAAACTATGAATATTGAATACACAGATCCACTAAAAATTGCATCACATTGCTTTAAAGGTTGATCTACAGAAACTTCCAGGATTGAGTTTTAAACAATTTGAAGAACTAGACTAAGTCAATTTATGGATTCAGAAAAAAAATTTATGCAGTGGGCATCACAACATAAGAGTCACATGTTTGATAGTTGAATCAGATTTGGCTACATTACTTCTTGAAGAAACAAATGGCCTTGGTCTCTAGCAAGCATGGTATTATATAATAAATGGAGTACTTTATAGGCAATCGTTAACCCAACCACTTTTACGCTGTCTTCACCCTGAAAAAGTTGCTCGAGTACATTTTGAAATCCATGAACCTATGGAGAACACACTGGGGCCCGATTACTCACATTCAAAATCCTCCGATAGGGATACTACTAGTCGACCCTTAGATGAGATGTTGTTTAGTATGTGCAACGCTGCAACAGATGTCAGCGTAATACTTGAATCCATAGGCTCCCTGTGACATTTCTGACATCCTGCAGATTTGGCATGGTCATTCGCCCAGTGGGGGTTGGACATTTTGAGCCTATTCCCACCAGCTTGAGGCCAAAGGAAGTTTTTGATCGTGGGAGTTAGTTATTTCACCGTGGGCCAAAACCGAACCCTTAGCCTCTATCTCAAAAAAATGGTCGAAGGATTGATTTGGAAGAACATAATCTTACGATTTGACGTTCCAAGAATCATAATTACCAACAAAGGGATGTAGTTCAATAACACCAAGTTCAAAGAATATTGCAAATCCTTTGGCATTAAGCTAAGATTTAGCTCGGTAGCTAGACTGAAGTCACTAATGGAGCCATTCTTGAGGGCCTAAAGAGGAGAGTGACCGAAGCTAAAGGCACATGAGTAGATAAACTCTCGAGTATCTTGTGGAGCTATTGGACCACACCAGAAGTCTCAACAGGACAATCCCCTTTTGGCCTAACCTACAAAACTAAAGCAGTGGTTTCAGCCAAGCTTATTCTGCTGATAGTCCGAACCCAAACCTTCAACGGAGAGTTATCAGACTTAGGTCTTCGGACAAACCTAGACCTGATCGATGAAGTCAGAGCAAGGTCCCACTTGAAGAACCTTGCTTACAAATGGTCCATGGAAAAGTCATACAATATAAAGGTTCGACATTGTTGGTTGAAAGTAAGAGACTTTGATCTACGAAAGTCAGTGATGGAGGAAACCCACGCCGAACTCGAAAGAGTCGTACTGCATCCTAGAAGAAGTCCGACCAGGGACTTACCGACTATAAACTTTGGGAGGCTTGGGTGTTCCTCGGAGTTGGCATACCTTCCATCTTAAGAAGTGTTATCCATGAACAAGTCCAAAGGTACACACAATTGAAAATTCAAGCTGGTTTTGTAAAAGTTTTCTTTAATTCATAAAAGTATATACATTATACTTGGGAGTCCTTACATCAAAATGGAACATCTTAACAGAAAGATGAACAAAAACAAAAGGAAACAAAACCATACAACAAGTCTGCTCGACTCCTATGATAGGATCTCTGTCTTATTTCGGAGTCGGTGGGGTGGGGGTGGGGTTTGCGCAATTGACCATTGGGATCATGACAAGGGGTGGGGATGCAGCCTCAGGCTCCACAGTTGACTCCTTAGTGTCGGGAGGAGTAGCCTCAGCAATTGGCTCTGCCTCTCTAGGTTCCCCCTCGGCCTCCTCACCTGGCTCGACATCACCATCTTCCACTAGATCCATAGCTACGATCGCCAATTCCATCTGCACCGATGAGGGATACTTAATGATCTGTTGGGCATGGAACTATGGAGTCTTTTGGGAGGGCAATATCAGGATGGTCATAGCGCGCTCAGGAAATTACGAGTTTGTAGTCAAAGTTAAACGCATTGAGCCCCAATTTGAGTTAACCCCTTCTCAAATCCCTGGGAGGCCTTGTATTTAGTAACCCCTCTCGCCTCAATTTTCAATTAGCAAGCCTCCTCAAACTGCTTCATCAGCCCCTCCACAACACGTTGGAGGGCACCGACCTTAGCCTTTAGTGTATCAGCCTCAGCTTCGACTTTCAAAGCCATCTCACTAATCTGACTCTGTTAGCCTCACCTCATCGACCAACCTCTTATAGACTTCGACTTGGTTGCGGAGATCAACGACCAAGACCCTTATCGCCTCGATCTAGTGTCCGAGCTCATCAACCCGAGTCTAGAGTTGGGTCGACTTGCCATAGTAGTGGTCCCTCTCGGCTTCCTTATTCTTTAGCTCGTCCGACTCTTTCTTCAATTCTTCGTTCTCCTTGAGCAAATGAGCAATGGCAATTGAGTCTCAAGCTTGATCGATCATCATCATCATGATGTGATGAGTCTGTAAGAGGAAATGAATCAGAAGGACACAAATAGAAAAGCCATCGGGTCGAACACTTAACATGATTAGCTGCTTGTGCGCATCGACCATTAGGTCCTCAGTTGGCTTTACATAGAGGCCCTTAGCAAACTCTGGGTGCAACATACTTCGGTTCCATTGGGCGGCCTCCCTTAAAACCTCCAATAGACAGCCATGGGGTGCCGAAGGGCCCGCCGATGGCGAGAATCGTGAGGGCTGTTGCTATTGTCGTTGTTGGGGTAAACGATCTTCATGCCGACTCCCCTCGAACCGATCAGATTCGGCTCTCCTCAGGGGCTCCCCCATGGCTAGGACAGGAGGAACTTGTCCCATTGATGTGGTCATCTCATCTCCTCTCCGACGCTGACTCGAAGGCAGTGGGGGTGATAGAGGTCCCACGTAGCATTTGTGGCCAATAGAGCGCCATAGCCTAGTGTTAGGCCGTTATGACAGGATGTTAAGAAATAGATCCTACCAGATTACACACAACAACCGAGGTCACATGCTCATCGATGGACACAACAATGGGACCTCACATGTACAGTTGCATGTGCTTGACAACACGTGAGGCCAAATCAGCCCATAGCACACTCCGATGACACGTGAGGCCAAATCAACCCTAACACAATCTGATGACACACGAGGCTGAATTGACCTATAACACACTTTGACGACACACAAGGCCGAATCGGCTCATAGCACATTTCGATGACCTACGCGGATAAACCAATCTGTAGGCGTAATAAAAGGGCAAAGTGTTAAACAACTGAAGCAATCGAACACATACAGAATCCAATAGGACCTCGATGTCGGATTGTCAGTAACCCGTCAAAGGACACTTCTTAACCCGACTTCATTGTGCTCAACAAGCCAAGAAGTGGGGGGCAAGTGTTAGAGGCATGGTGACATGGCCGACACCTCGGCATCAAGCAGTCGACACCTAGGAGCTTGGTGGCTGACACCTTAGCACCATGTGGCTAACACCTAACACCTAGGAGCCTGGTGGCCAACACCTCGGTGCCAGGTGACCGACACCTTAACGCAGGTGGTTGGCATCTTAGAGCAAGGTAACTGTCATCTCGCCACCGTCCACTAGCATCGGGTGGGATAATGGGTCAAACATTACCATGTCCTGGATTCAACGCACCACAATTGGAATTAAGTCCAAGAAAGGCTCACCACATGCTTTATGGTCGACGTCTTCTGCGAAGGTAATGACAGTCGAGGCCTACTATAAAAGGGTTTCCCAAGTACGTTTCCAACACAACTTTTTATCCAAAAAAACTATTTGAATCATCCTGATCGTTTATTGACTTAAGCATTAGAGAAGCATTGTCGAGATATCTAAAACATACCAATAAATTATATCATGCAACATATAGCAGAAAGATAAATATATGACATACCTGATTTAACACACACCATGCGGTCAAGAAGTTTCAACGAGTTGATCAAGCTTGACTCTAGGTCCAAAAGCCTCCACATTTCAAAGGCATAATCTCTTTCAGACATTGTGCAAACATATACCTCAAAACACTTGCAACCTCTTGCTGTTAGATAGCTCCTTAGGTCCTCCCATGCAAACCTTAATCATACAAGAACACTTGTATCTCGCATCTGAAGATGAATGAAATTTTATCCACATTAATTGAATATTGTTAATAATAATTAAGACAAAACAAGAAAGGAACTTCGTTCAGAAGAAGAATTTTAGTTTGTATAGAGAAAAATGGCATTACTGAATTCTCTGTGCTGTAATGTAATAGAAATTAAGAGTAACTAAAGCATCAAAATTTAACAAACTAGTGGAGTAGAAATGTTGACATTTATAATCACAAAGCTCCAAAGTTGACAAGCATTTATAAATGTTTCAAAAGCAAATTACACTTCCACAGAACTTTAGTAGCTACCAGAAATTATTTGTAATCTTAATCATGTTCTTGCCAGACATCTGGCAGAAAAATAGCATAGAAGTGAGATATGAAGCTTCTATGCAGGGAAAACAAGGGAAAGGAACACACCAGTTTTTGGTTATAACTTGCAGCAAAAAACATACCGATGGATTTACACATCAGAATGATGGTATTTTGCATGTAACCTTATTATTGGTCGTGTGATCAATTGATGGCTATCAGACAAAGGTAGGACCACCTCTGACTGAACCTTGAACACCTTACCATTATCAACAACCTGGTCACTGTCTGCATATTGTTTCATGATCAATTTATCATCTTGGGAATGTTTAATCTCTGCTAACATGCTGGTAATGTGCGGAGGATCTGTTTCATTACTTATTTTCATTGAAGAGCACTGATCCTGGTCCTTGAATGACCACATGGTATTAGGAACTATAAGCGTTTCATCAAGATCAAACACAATGCCAAGGCATCTCAGGTTCAGCATCATAACAGAAGACTCGTACAACCGTGACTGCACAATAAACCCCCATAAACAGGCATATGACATAGGGTTCTTTCTAGAAGCCATAGCCACCAGGTGCAGCCCTTTTTCACCTAGCTCTTTTGCACGAATCGGAATAACAGCAGTCTACAAGTGCATGAAAACAGAACAAATGAAACATTAGACATGTAAACTAGAAATTGCAATAAACAACATATGAATGTCAACTCTGTAAGGCTTACCCTAAGCTAAGTTGTGTGCGGTGCACATAAAGATAGAACTTTACACATACGAGTATAAATGCAGAACAACACATGAATTATGCACATCCAGCCGTGCCCAACAAGAGGATCATTAAGTGGCCATGCTTTCTTGATGTACAGATTAACAGCTTACATTATAATCTAATTATTGGGAACACCAGTGAAGTAAGTTTTCTTTTGAAAACCAGAAGGAACCACAAACAAGTATTAATCATACAACAGAACATGTTGCATGTTCAAACTCAGTATATAGGTACAAGAAGATGTTATGCATAATAGATACTAGTCAGTTTGGAAGTAAAAAAAGAGAGTTCAAATAGATATATTCACCTATGAAGACATGCACATCATTTTTTAATTAATTTTCCATAAAAGATATTGGCATACCATTCACCTTTCTGGTTCCATATTATGCAATCTTCATGAATCTACTTTCAAGACAAGCAATAACAGATTCAGACAAGGCAATGCACATTAAGGATGCAATGTTCATTACACAAAATTCACCAGACAGACCTCTCCAGGTAGCTGAAAACAGTTATAAACGGAAGATAATATCTGTTCTTAGGATTTTAATCTCTCTCCATCTCCTCCTGTTACTTCGAGAGGTGGATGGGGCGGGTGGTTCTGTCCGTCGCCCCCCGAGCATCTCGGATTCGTGTATGGGGGTTTACTGCCTCGGCCATGTCGAAACCGATTGCGATTCCGAAGGTGGGCCGCCGGCGGTTCGAGGGTTCCCTTGGTGTTCTTCCCCGATTCCCTTTCCGTTCTTGGATGCCACCGAGGAGGAACTCAGAAACCCTACCTCGTCACTCGATCAAAGGTGCAGGTGCAAACCGATGGCTGTTAGACCAAAATGGGAACCTACACTGAGGTCGGGGATCCGAACACTGGCGGACCGACTCATGCAAAATTTCACCCTTAGCCACTGGCGGAACTAAGTGATCCTGGCCGTCCATGTCTTCAGTCTTAGCCACGTGAACGGTGAATTTCTTTGGTGCCTTTGCCCATTTGGATGCCACTTCATCATCCCTCAAAGTTCCGCGGCTGACTCGACCGGCATATTCATATGCCACAGTTTATCAGAAGGGAATTTTGATTTTATTTATTTATTTATCAAATAAAACCATCCTATCCTTATGATTTCACTACTTTTCTGTGACTTGCGTCTTGTGGTTTCCTATCTGTCTCGATCTAGGTGGGGCCCAAGCTTTCCATTCAAATAATAATAATAATTATTTCTCCGATATTAAGATCCTTTAAAGCACTTATAAGTGTCGACAAAACCGCATGGAAACAGCAAGCAGTAGATATACAATGCATATACGAGTAGATTAGTCCCATGTGGCTCAAGAACTCGATTTATGAAAGCAGATCCGAATCTCGAATCGAGATCGAACCGATGAATCAAATCTATTGGGCTCATGTTGACTGGCATCAAATTAGAAAGACGACTTGCTCTCGAAATTAATTACGGGCCGGATTCGAAATCGAATCAGCTTGATGTTGCTGGTCTGATGCGATTTGATCTGATGGATGACTTGGCAGCGCCATCAAGATTTGCGCGTACAATCGGGCCCAGGATCACAGATCTGGTATGCTGGACGTACGCAAGAAGTTCGCACCGGGCGGTGACTATACCCACGGATCTTCCACGCATCCTTTGTGACTGCAATATTAATGCCACTCCTCGCTCCTGTGGAATCCGGGTTCCGGTTACCTCCCGACCCTAATTCTTCCTCGGTCAGAGCAAGAAGGGATTCGAAGCCCCGTCTCTCAAGCAGCCCCGCGAGAAGGCGATGATCGTGCGCACTTACGCCCGGAGAGCCGCCCGCTGCGGCGCCGGCCGCACCTCCTCCGACCCCATCCTCCTCGACTCATCCGACGCCGACGGGGAACCCGATTCCGCCGCCGGAGAGCTTCTCGACCTTCCCTTCTCCCAGGACAGCTCCCATGGCCGCCACGCGCACGCGCACGCTGCATTCTCCTCTCAAGATTCCTCCTCCCCTTGGTCCCTGAACCCCTTCGACCTCCCCGACAACCCCCCGACTCTCGCCCCTTCCCTCTTTTCCCCGTCCCTCGTACCGCCGAACGAGCCGCACGGATCGGACGGTACCAGGACGGGAAGGCGCGGGGCAGAGAGGGATCTGGCGTCGGCGGTGACGACGGCGACGCTGATGGAGGCGCAGGAGTTCGGGGAGATGATGGAGCACGTCGACGAGGTGAACTTCGCGTTGGATGGTTTGCGGCCAGGCCATCCGGTGAGGGTCCAGCGTGCGAGCTTGCTGTCATTGCTGTCAGCCTGCGAGACTGCGCAGCAAAGGCGACTTCTCCGGGTGCAGGGGTGCGTAAATGAGATGCCTTTTTATATTTACCCCGTTGTCGTTTTAGTTGTGTTTCAAGAAAGTAGTTTTCGGATTGAAATGTTGAACATCGACGCAGTCGCCATTATAATAACTTCAAAAAACTTTGTTGGTTGTCTCTATCATCTGTTTGCAGCATGCATAGTTTGACATGCTTAGATTTTTGAACGCCTTACAGGATGGCCAAGAGAATAATTGATGCCATTTTGGGTCTAAATTTAGATGATTCTCCAAGTACAGTTGCTGCTGCTGCTCTGTTCTACGTCTTGGCAAGTGATGTAAGTTCCTTGTATATGTTAGTAGTTTTTCAGCATATTGTGCCTATGATTTTTTATCATCCGTTCTACATGACACAAAATAATAAGCCTTTTATCAATGTGTTTTTCACTTTAGAAAATCATTTATTACCTGAGGTTTCTTGTTTATTTGTCGACTTGCATGCTACATGTCATTCAACATTGATGTCCCAGAGATAATGGTAAAGTGAATTTCTAGAAGTTATTTGCTATTTGTCAACTAGGTCCTACACCTTTACTTGCTTGCCTATTTCTCACTAGATTGGCATCACTCATAGGATGTAAACTCTATATACAAAAAGTGACTTGAAGAGAACTTTAAATTGAATGCATCACAGACCAATTATATTCTAAAGCATAAGATATTTAAACCCAGTAGATATTGAATTATTCAAACTGATATAGAGCACACTCTTAATATTATCTTTATGATTCAACATTTGCATTTCTCTTTTGAGCCTGGTCCTGTAGGTGGAAGGTGTTGATGATTTAATTAAAAGAGTCACTTCCATTAATAGTTACTTTTAATGATGTTTTTCATCCAATTACTCATCTATCACTTAAAAGAGTATATATCTGTCTCTTATCATGTTATCTCTTAGCAGTTTAAGACGTACTCAGCTCCTTTCAATTTATATTTTAATTTGGAAGGGTTTTGTGTTGAAATTTGGTATAGGTGAAGATGTGTATAAATATTGACTTTCATCTGTGGATTACACTTCATGCATTTCTCATGCTTATCTGTATGCTTCAATGCTGACCTGCTTATGTCCTACTAATTGAATTGTGTATCTTCATACTCAGCATCATAGTTTGGCTGATCAACTTAAATAACTTTTTTATTTAATGTATTTCAGGTTCAAGATGATAATTTGCTGGATACACCATCTTGTATTGGCTTTCTTCTTAAGTTATTGAAACCAACAGTTCCTTGTGTCAACAGAGACAAAGCCGCAAGTTTTGGATCTAAACTTCTTGGGAAACGCAAGCCTCAAGTTGTAGGGAGTTCATATAAAGGATTAGATTCCACTGCGAAGGCCATCGTTTCAAAAGTTTCAGAAATTCTTTTAAGTTGTAAAGAGATAAAAGCAGGCCATGGGAATGATGAAGCAACAGAGAGGCCAGAGCTGAGCCCCAAATGGATAGCATTATTGACCATTGAAAAAGCATGTTTATCTACTGTATCATTTGAAGGTAGGGTTAGTTTCAATATATGCTTAACATTGTTGCTGTGCTTTGTTATATGCTTGATTAGGTGGACTGCTTTCTTGTGGTCTGTTACAATCCATAAATTCTGTCTGCACAAATTGCCATTTCAATACCGATTTCAGTTTCCTTTTGGACTGATAAAATATCAGTAAACCAGGCGGTACACTGACCTGTACCACCTAGTACTGTTGAATATAATTTAAAAAAATAAATATGAGCTGATATGCAGATCGATAAATACTGGTCAACACATATAGGTCCAGCTGGTGTTTAAAAACTTATGACTATCTAGGAGCTTAGCCATTATAGTGTTACGTTTGCTCCAAAAATAGGGTCTCAACATTTTACCAAACAACCATATTGCTTAATAGATTAGTCTGTTGCACTGTTTGGAGAAATAAGATTAAAAAAATATTGGGATAAATGTTTACACATCTGATAATTAACTTTTTCTGATTGGTCTATTATGGTTATTGGTTTAGATGCTGTTTCACTGTTGCTGTACATTTTCTTTTGCATATCATTGTGGTTAATTTTCTGCTGACATATTGTTTTTAGACACGTGTGATATGGTGAAAATGCCTGGGCGAGAATTTAAAGAAAAGTTGAGAGAGCTTGGTGGACTTGATGCAATCTTTGATGTTCTTGCTAGTTGCCACTCCACCTTGGAGGTGAGATGAGATTTGAATTTACTTTACTGATTTTTTTTTATAATAAATGTGTATTAGACTAAAGGGAGCAATATGATTTCAACAAGTGTTCATATCTGATTCTTCTATATCGTTGTGATTTGTGCTTCGATTCTGCATCTGGCTTTGGAATTATAGAACGGTGCCAATAAGCAATTTCCAAAAGAAGAGGACATGATAGCTAGTGTCATATTGATGAGAAAATGCAAGCATGTGATGACAATTAATAATACTGACTCACAGACAAGCATCAACTCTTTTGTGTTGTTAAGAACTTCCTTTTGTTACTTAATATACATTAGTAATCTGTTCAATAGAAATGCTGGAGACATTATTGCTTGATAGAGTTTTGCTTATTGTGTTATAAGTTGGTAAAATATTTTTTGAAGTTGAATTATGTGGTGGTATTTAAAGTTTTAGCATTATTTGTTGTTGGATCATTAATGTTTAATTTCTAGCTATATGCTTTGTTGTTTCTAAACCTTATTACTTTTTTGGATGGGTTGTTGTTATTTTCTGTGTTATTTATGAGCCATATGAAGTTTGATTAATTAAAGATATATTCTGTTTATGTTGTCATTGTATATTGTAGCAGCGTAGCCACTTTAGTTCATACATGCATGGATGGGCTTAACTATCACATGAGCACATGGAATGTCAATATCAGTATCAACATGAGTTTTCCTGAGATAACTATATAGCAAGATCCTTTATCTAAATATCTATGATTGAATCGACATCGTACTTTTTCTAGTGTCCTTGCAATGTGTTGACTATGGCATGCTTGATGTTGTAGACATGGCACAGCTCATCATTGTTGTCACATTCTAAAGATGAATCAGTGTTGCAAAGTATGCTACTTCTCTTAAAATGTTTGAAAATTATGGAGAATGCAACATTCTTAAGTAAGGATAATCAGGTACTGTATCAGCCTTACAAGTGACTAATTTTGTATTTTGTTTCTATGATTATCTTCTAACTGTACACATTTTGTTTTATTTTTTAACAGAGTCATTTACTTGAGATGAAACACAAGTCGAACTATGGTGGCGTACAACTTTCTTTTGTTGGGGTCATCATCAGTGCCATTAAGTTATTTTCAGGTCTCTGTCATGTGCTAACTGATCAGACCTTTTCATGTGCTTTTGTTCAATCTCACTGGAAAAAACAAATTATTGCACTGGTACTTATTGATGTTTCTGTTGGTTTATTTTGTATTGCACTACAGATTTTTCTTTGCTCCAGGGTAAATTCAGCATTTCAAACAAAGAGAAGTTAATTTCTGAATATCAGAGTCTTCAAGTGAACCAAGAACTGAAAGGTACTTGGATTTTCTGGATCTCTTTTAGCTAATCTTATGCAGCCTTTTCTGCTTTTTTTCTCATTTGATAGAAAGGTTTTTTTTTTTTTAATCAAAGATACTATATAGGGGGATTATATAATATTGAGCAAACTGTTATTCATCATATAACAATCAAATTTGTGTCATTCTTTTTTTTTTTTTTCGTTTCCTTGGATCTTAATTTGGCTCAAGATCTGAATATTACTCTTTTGCAAATATGTGGAAGATGATTCTTGATATTATTGTAGTGTTAGCATTTTCTTGGTCATCTGTTGTTACTACATTAAATCTATGTGGGGGTGAAAATTTTTTCCTTAAAAAAGGGCATGTATTGAAAATAATTTATTATCAAAGTTTTGAAAAGCAGTTCTTGATTTTGTACGTGATCCTTGGGGTGATGTTTCTAATATTCTAGTTTTAAGTTATTATGAATATGCCTAGTAAGATTATTTTTAAAGTATATTGCAATTTATATATTGTCATTAAGCTTGGCCGCTGGTAGAGTATGTAAATCATCATTGTCAGTAATTACTCCAGGATACTGGTTGCTTTTTTATTAGTGAATCAAAACTTCTTGCTCAAAATGTCTTTTAGATACCTTTTACTTACGTTTGCTATTATAATTTGTCTGTAAATTATTGTTGCTTGTCATCGTCAGTATATTTTCTTCTATTTTGGCAGATAACAGTGATGAGCCACCAGATAGTTATTATGCTGGGTGTTCTGGTGTTGACAGGGAGTCTGAAGTGAACATCATAAAGATATGTCATAAACGACAGAAATCATCTTATACCCAATTAGAAGTTTCTCATTCTGGTTCAGAAATGGCAATTGATTTTTCCGCCTCTGTTTCATATGATGTAATTAATAGATCTATTGGAGGTGGCTGTATGAATGGTAATACTTTGAAGGCAAAAGTTAATTCTAGTGGTTCGAAGATGAATTCTTTTAGGATTTCAAATCGATGGATCTCTATAAAATCCAATGGTGCAACAATGAGCTCTGATAGCATGTCTAGAAGACCTCATATGCCAAAAGATGATAAAGGCAATTGTGAAATGGACATAAATGATCCTTTTGCATTTGATGAAGGTGACTTAAAACCTTCCAAATGGGAATTGTTGGCAAAGAAGAAAACGAAAACTCAGGATCATGAAGGTGATTTACCAAATAAAGAACTTTTGGATGGGTGTGAACTCCCAATAATTACTACAGATGATGTTTTGAGTCAATTAACAAATGAAGAAAATCACAAGAATTGTGCAAAGTCTCATCCATCAGGAATTGATGAAGATTCAAGCCTTGCGGAAGACTGTCTCCTCACTTCAGTGAAGGTAATTGAATGGTCCGTATTTAGTTGCTGTTGTCCTGTGTAAGCAAACAAACATACACATGCAGCAAATGATGTTAAGTAAATGATATGATTGGCTTATTTACTTATATGCTGAAAGCAAAATAGTTGTATTCTTATCTAAATATGCAATCATTTTAGTACTAATTTACTGATATCATTTGTTTCTTTTATGGGAAATTTGAAATCTTTGAGATGATTGTTATACTGATATGGTGTACCATAATATTCATTTGTTGTTTATAATGTTTAAGTACAGATATTTAAAGGCCAAAATGAAACAATTATTTTTTTTCCTGCAAGGGTCATACCCAGCAGGCCAACAATCTTAAACTGCTGAGTAACTAGTAAAATGTTACTTTAGACATAATTAGTTGGTATCATTTTTGTCTAGGGGTTTTTGTTTGACGGTTTCCAGGTCAGAATCTTGGGTTATGAAAAGGAAAAGTTACTTGTGAATTTCTTCCTGCCTTATTGAATCTGAACTGGATACCTATTTTCCTGTACCCATCTATAGTGACGAGCACCTTATTTTGGCCTAAGCATGTCAGGTAGACACAAATACCCAAAAAACTGGAGCAGCTGTTGTACATGAATGGTTAAGGATAGGGCATGTATAAATTTCAGTAGGTCAATTTTGATTCTATTGTCTTAAAATATGCTTATTATTTATTTCAATAAGTCAATTTTGTTATAATACAATTACAAATACTTTTTCCTATTTTGTATGTTATTTTATTTGTTGTTCCCTTATAAATCAGTTCACTTTAAGTATCAGATTTGTTTTGTCAATAGAATCTCTGAAAAAAATTGAATCATTACCATCTAACATTACTGCAGCTTACTAGAGTTTTGTTAGGAATGAACCAATAAGCCTATGACTTTCCTGGGTCCTTTTATTCTTTGGAGATGCATTGGTCTATGGTCGAACAGAAAATGAAGGTCATTGACATCCCCTTTTGGGGTTGAACAATGGTGGATTATGATACCAATGATTAAAGTATCACAAACATGATTTTTAAGGTCACTTCATACTGGGGTGGGACTTGTTAAGCTATCTTAGCCAGCATATTAAGTAATGCTTTTCAAGACTTCTCTACTTAGTTACTTTAATTACTAGACAAATTGACATGAAGTGATGCTTGGTCATAATTATGATTTAATGATTTCATGTTTTCAACTTTTCATACTTTTCTTTTATAAATTTGTTGTTCCCTAGCCTTCCATCGGTTCAAATGGTTATTTCCTAACCAAATTATATCTTGCAAAAGGAGCATGCAGATCCCAGAAAGTTCATTCATTTGGAACGGAAATAATCTTGTTGTCCTACTAGACTAATTATCGGGAACCATCTTGGTGTGTGTTTTATCGATTTTGTTGGAACTGCTAACATTTGGTTCCCCTTTAGTGCAACTTTGAGCATATGTAGGCCAACTGATTTTCATTTTGATATCTAAACAAGTGTTGGTCTGACCTCTTAAGTTACTGATGATTTGATTCTATGAATGTTACAATCCAGAGATGACTTTTCCAAATGTGGTAAAGGATAAACTTATCCAGATGTGGGAAAGTATGCACTTTTCAGATGTGTGAAGATTTACCTGAAGTGTTTTTTATTTGCTATGTTGGCTGCCAGAAATTGTTTGCTAAGCTTCCACTGTTATTTTTATTACTTTACCTGCTAAAAACAAGTGTCTTTCTCTCTCTGCCTCTGCATGAATTTACAAATGCAGTCAAATTATTTTCATGTCATTTTTATGAATTGTTATTCATTTTGGTCTTTGTTCTTTCTGTAGTTCATATAATTTCTTTGGATAACATCTATCTTTTCCTTGTGTAATAATTTAGAGCTGTGTTTTACTTGCAGGTTCTGATGAACTTAACAAATGACAACTCTGTAGGGTGTCAGCAAATTGCTGCATGTGGTGGACTGCATACTATGGTTTCTTTAATAGTTAGCCATTTTCCATCATTTGACTGTTCGTTTCAAACAAACAGCAAAGTGAACGAGAGCACCTTATCTACCAACCAACATAACAGTAACTGCCATCTGAACAACAGACATCTCAGTGATCATGAATTGGATTTATTGGTAGCTATATTGGGCTTGCTTGTGAACCTAGTGGAGAAGGATAGTCAAAACAGGTCATCTTCTATTCCGTAATATTATATACTTTTGGAGAATAATTAAATAGTATATGTACTTTGTTTGGAGAAGAAAACAAAGAAGTTACAGAGAGAATAAATAACCAATGAAGACTTAGAGGAAAGAAAAACAAAAAGAAAGCATTAAACTATGCATAAAGGACCTGTCATCTTAGCATGCATTCTGTGGAAAAAGGTGTTTAAACAACCACAAGTGATGCAAGAATAATTTTTTAATCTTATTGGAGAAATCTATTATCTGAAATCTGCAATGGCTTTCATACAAAAAACTAACCCTCCTCCCCCATAACCAAATAAAAAAAGGGGCAACTGCAAATGTTTTCTATAGCAAGCAAATACAACCGCCTGGTTAGACCAAACAAGCACAGCCATAACAACATGATAAGAATTGTGGTATAAATTGGGCAGGACTACTTTGCCAACACCAATTATCAAGTTATGTCTTTTTGTCCTCGTATTAACACCAAAATATGGAAAGCATGACGTAGTCATGCAAGTTTGGTTTCAATAACTTAGATGTCCTAGTAATTGATTAGTTTATTTTGGACTTCAGCAAATTCCATGACATGTGAGCAATAGGAATTTCATAAGAGAGGCATATATTCTTGAATAGACATATGCATGTATCTACAACTCAATCAAATGCCCATTAAGCTATGAGGTAAGAGTAAAGCCTGCTTAAAAGTGCATTGAATGTTGGAGGAACTATGATCTGATTTTGGAGTCAGCGAACATATACAAAATCTTCTGATATTTGCATGGCCTGAAAGAGACTAAGGCTGTGCTAAATTGTTATTGTAGAACATATTTATGATTCAAAAACCTAGATGGCAAGTCATGGAGGAGCCTGAGATGGCAAAATGGAAAAAAGATAGCCTTGTTTGATGTTACAAGTAGTAGATATGATTATGAATCCTTTTCTTTTTTAGGCTATCAACCTTAGTTCCGCTGCATAAAAGGTGCACATGAACATGAGAGAGACAGAGAGAGAGTGAGTGAGGGTTCTTGGCAATTGATCAAGTTTCATTGTCACAAAAGCCTATTATATTTCACCAATACAAAATTTATCCTGTTCTCTTATTTTTCACTTTTCTGTTTTTTTTATAATTTTTAATTTTCTTTGATTCATATTAGAGCATTAGTTTACATATGCTAGGCTAATTTTTTTATTATTTATTACATTAATTATATCTACTCTGCAGATCACGTCTTGCAGCAGCTCGTGTTTCAGTAAGTCGACCAGGAAAATCAGTCAACATGGAGCCACAAAGGGATGCAATTCCATTGTTGTGCTCCATATTTATGGAAAATCAAGGAAATGGGGAGGCTAAAGACGAAAAACCTTCTCTATGTGTAAGCTAACGCTTCATATAATGGGTATTTATTAGATTAGGTATATTGACATGACAAATTTATCTTGAAGATACTTCTGAAACGATTAATATAGCAAGATAATGCTTGCATCAAGAGTTATGCTTGTTTCTGTTATAATACCAAAATGTGTATTTGATTCCTTTTCTGAATTCTATTATGTTCAATGGCAAAACATTAAAAAAAGTGATGCGAAGCACACTTTATGCAACAACAATACCACAAAGTCTCAACAAAAATCGGTTAAGATTAAGATTCATGTTTATGGGATCTAACGTAGTTTTACGTTGTCAGTGATCTAATGCAACCCTCCACCTTTTTCATCCGGGCTTGGGATTGGCATTGACAGTATTACAAACTTGCAGTTTGTAATTGTTACAAACTTGCAGTTGTAACATTTTGTAGGATTTGTTATTTTTATTTGCATTATGATTTTGCACAGTACACAGTAAGTTACAAACTCGCGGTTGCATCGTTGTTGTTTGTTCAAGTATATTATCACAAATAACAAATCTAATTTAATTGTCACCTTGAATTTCTTAATGATGCATCTAACTGTTGTAAAGTCACCACTCAACCGATTATGAAGTTTGAAAGATCATGATCATTGATATTCTTTACATTATAGTAGCCCTTAAAATGTACAGACTGTTGAGTCAGTGATGTCGCTCTATGATGTTATATGCCTCGTTAAGAATGCACATTAGCCAATGAGCCTACTGATTTTGGTTTTTATAATGAGTTAACAGGATGATGAAGAGTCATTGTTGGAAGGAGCACGGGAGGCTGAAATGATGATCATTGAAGCTTATGCAGCTCTTTTGCTCGGGTTTCTGTCAACAGAAAGGTCTGCATAACCTTTCGGTATTTTTATTTTTTATCATAACTTAATTTACTCATGCTAATGGTAATTTTCTGCCACCAGTTCTAAACTTCGCCAAGCTATTGCCAACTGCCTTCCAAATCGGAACTTGCATGCTCTAGTTCCTGTTCTAGAAAGATTTGTGGTAAGTCAACAAAATGTTCTTTTTTTCCTATTTACCTCTATCTTCCTACATGGGGAAGTGGTTCTTCTCATGTTGCAATACAAAATAAAGTTGATCTAGAATGCTGTGAGAGGACTTGAGGCCTCATCTATCACCTTATTATTAATCATGGATTCTCCAAATTGGAGATTGTCTTCAACAAACATGATTACAACGTTTAAAATACATAGAACCCAAGTTTAAGTGATTGGTATATATTTTGTGTTCATCGAAACCAAGACGCAAGGGACAGCATAAAAGTATTCATGTTTGCTTCTAAAATCTTAGTTGTTTTAACTTATGATCGAATGATTAATTTTAATCTAAATATTGTTAGATGAATGTATAAAATTTTGCTTGATTTGTTACTTATTCCTTCACTAGATGCAAATTTTAAAATGTATATACGATTTTTATTTTTAGGTTTTATATGTCATAAATCATGTTCAATGGAACCGGTTTTTCAGTTTGGAGCTTTCATTAATTTTGAGGGGATGAGAATCATTCTAATAGGATTTTATTTTAACTCTTCATGTGTTTGTGAGTGTATCCGCAACCACTGTAACTCCATGTTGCATAAGCTGCTTTATTGTGTGACTTCTCACACTTAAATTTGATATGCTACAATCACTTGGCACTTGTGATCTGGGTTGCCTTCTGTAGACATTGTTTTACACACTGTATAATCTACCATTTTATAAGTTATTTCTGTTCTTTTAGGATCTTGATGCTACTTTAGTATTGCAATGATATACACAAATAGATTTCATATGTGCAGCATTTTACGTTAACACTTCCAATTATTAGTATTCCTCAGCTAAGGTATATTTATTTTCTTACTTCCTGTCAGCACATAATATTGTGTGTTTGAATTGGTTTGCCAGGCATTTCATGTGTCGCTAAACATGATATCACCGGACACTCATTCAGCAGTTGTCAAAGTAATCGAATCTTGTAAAAGACCATAGATGAAAGATACTGTACAGTAACTATTGGTCTCTAGTAGGATGTGGAAGAGTCTTGGGGAAGCTGCTCTCTGCTTTCGGCTCTCGTAAGACTAACAGCCATTTGTATCCTTATTTTTTTTGACCAGTTTTTCTTTCTATTTTCTTTACTTTCCTTTGTTTTTTTTTTTTTCGAGTTTTATATGATTTTTCTCCCCCTTCATGCTATCACCACTGTATCGTATATGCCGAGGTGCCTGCTGATTGTATAATAAATATCACAAGGTGCAATGTTATATCTGTTCCTGTCGATGCAAGTATTAAAAGATGGAAATAAGCTGAGTACAAAAGATTTGATCCCAAGAGGTGAATGCATTGCGAGTGTTATAGTATGTGCATGATCCCTGAGTTATGTGGCTCAACTAAGTTTGCCTACATGTACTAATTAAATGAAGTGGTAACAAGAAATGGTTTTCCAACTATGCTTTTCGTTTCTTATCATTTTTTGTGGTTCAAGTTACTTTAGGAGTTTATTATATATATATATATATATATATGGTGCATTTTTTAAAAGATATTTGTAAGAAATTCTCATAGAGCCTATTAAACTTAGCATGTATGTTTATGCTGTTAACTTCAATTGATCTTGGTTTCATCGTTAATCTAAGCACACACCACGTTTCAAATTGACATTAGTTCTCTTTAAGAGCCTGTTAAAACTATTATTATGATGGGTATTAGAAATGTAAGCGCTGTATATTTATATATTAAAATTTATGTGATGATGTTTGTATGTGATCATAACTCATGTTTATGTCGAAGTTGGGCTAATTATATATTGGCCTTTCTTTAGCGTTTCGATCTTTATACTTTAAAACCTTACATTAACATTTTTATAGTTATGAAAATGAAATATTTAGCTTTATTTATTTTAACGATGTTAATTTTATCGATAGAAATATAAAAATAAAAGATAAAAAATATAATTTTAACGTTCAATGACAAACGATGACATAGCTAGCATTGATGCTGACGTAGTTACTTGGTCGCTTTCAACAATAATGAGGTTTGCTCTCACTGCGACACCACTTTCCTTCACGAGGAACACGTTGCCCTCCTCTTTTGCATCTGCGTCGGCATCGACGCATATGTCGAGCGATCGTCGCCCTTCGATCCATATTCTCTCGGCAAGCCCTTTACCATGTCCGACCATCTCCCCGACGAATGGTCATTGCTATTGGACGAGACCATCACCTACACCTGCGCCTTCCTAATCATTCGTAGCACCTCCCGCATCAGTGGTTGCTTCTTCGCCTCGATCGCTACACACGCCACCGTGATGTTCAGTAGCACCATCAGCTTCTTCTCGAATGCCTCATTCTCAGACGACCCAAGGTCCTCGTCGGAGTCATTTCACTCCTCCCACATAGTGGATCCATCGAGGGATGTCAATGCTATGCTCCTTCACTAGGTCCTAGAAGGGGGTCTTCTCGGTGAGGAGCTCAAGGAGGAGGACGCCAAAGTTGTAGATGTCGTTAGGAGAGGTGAAGGAGGGCTTCAGAATGTAGGACTCGAGTGCATGGTCGAAGAGGACAGAGGATGCGACGGAGGAGGAGAGGGCAACGAGGTCATGGGGTGAGGCCAGGGGAAGGAGGAGGAGGGATGAGATGAGAGCATAGTCGACGAGGCAGGACTCGAAGTTTGGGCCAAGCATGACATTGGAGGGTTGAAGGTTGGCGTGCAGGGTTGACAAGTTGCTCTGGTCGAGGTAGAGGAGGTCGTTGGCCACGTCCTCCACTATCTCCAAGCATGACGTCTACTGCAATAGCCACTCGACATCTGCGTCGACACCAACATAGATGCAAAGGGGAAGGTTAAGATTTGCCCGACAGGTCAATGGCTAGGCGGCCATATCTTCGCCATAGACACTATGGTGGCCACCATCATATGTATTGAACGTAGTTGTTGCTCGGTAACTATGTCATTGTTGACGTAGATATAGGTAGCCTGGGGGCAAGCGACGATGAGATCGACATTGTGCTCGAGGCGAGTGGCATCGTAGTGAGAGTAGACCTTATTGCCGTCGAAAGTACTATGCAACTACGTCGATGTCGATGCTAGCAACGTCATAATCCGCCACCACCGACGCCAGCTATGTCATCATCGTTCACCATCGAACATTAAAATTATTTTTTTATTTTTATTTTAATATTTTTATCGATAAAACTGATATTGTCGGGATAAATAAATTCACTTTCGTAACTATAAAAATGTTAATGTAACGATATAAAGATCGAAGCTATTAACAGTTTGATTCTTCAAAGTACGAGAGCGAACGCGTGTTCATGTGGTCATGGATCCGACAGCCGCTTCTCGTAAAAGATCCCTTCGTTCGACCAAATCGTTCCTATTTGGCTCTCTCTTAACATTTTTTTTTATTTGTCTTTTATTTGTTTGCCTTCGGCTGTGTGTATCGTCAGATCCTCTTCTCCGCCCTCACCAACCCCGATGAGACGACCAACAAGTCCTTCTCGAGCTTATACTCTCGGAGGAAGAAGTATCGCCGTGAGCGCGACTCGGATGTGTCTTGTTCTTGGCTTCTGTTCCCTATGTCTGGTCTTACTTATTGTTTCTTGGAAGCTCTATCTCAAGTCATTGAAAAACTACATGGAAGATGTATCCAATAAAATTCATCCATCGATATGGGGGTTCAGAGGCTTTTCTTCTTCTTTTTTTAAGAAAGAGAGAGAGAGAGAGAGAGAGCTTTATAGTTATTCTTTATAATGTTCGATAGAAAATGACCATTTAATTTAAGCGGTAGTGGCACAAAGATCATCGTGCATTACTTGATCTTCCAACCATGCGTCATATTAATCTACTTGACCATTTGGTCAATGTGACGAGAACTGGTTGATCGTTTGGTCATGTTGATGATGACATAACATTATATCATGGACGATACTCTTCTAGATATATGATCCACATCCGACCCAACAACATTAATGGATCGGGTCGGTTCATAGGTTTTCGGGTCAGGTTTGAGTCGGGTTTCACATTCGCAGCCGTCGTTGCCATGGTCGTGATCAGCTTCAGCTTGTTAAGATCACACACGATTTCAAATAAATCGAAGCCCAACCACTAAACACAGCAATAAACGATCGATATGCAAGTCATCGTTCGACATCAGCCAACAATTTCACGCCACAAGAATGCCAAGAAAAACTTGAAAGAAGACTATTATTATCCATAGCAGAGGAAGGTTTCTCACAAGACATAAGTACGCTCAGGGAACACTAAATGCAAACAAGATCCAATTTTAGCTGGTCACTGCACCAAACATGACCTAGCAAATTGTTTACCCATTCAAAAACAGCATCTCTGTCTCAAAACCATTTCTTATGAAAAGATTTTCAATCTGATGATAGGTGGACAGAAATAATAGGAACTAGAAAAGCTCCATTTATCTTAATAAACACCTAGATATTACGGACGATGAATGATATCAATGGCTACTCCGACTTCTTATTATAGCTGAAACCATTAACTTCCCCATTTCGGTCACCATTTCTCCACTGCTCTTCCTTCAACTGTCGGGGATAAAAATAGGATCAGTCGACGAAGAACCCAATTTATTAGCTACAACTAGAATTGTAACATGTAATGTCTATAGTCAAATAACAGGCAACTAGTGACATCTAAGCACTGGGTGCACGAAGCAAGAATATTCTTGAATCTCGTGGCATGCAGAATCCTGATACTGTAACAGAAAGGCCTGAAAAGTACCTTTGCTAAGCATGCCTTGTGGTACCTGTACCCCTGAAATGAGAACAAGTTGCAGGATGAACACTAGGTTTTTCGATAACAAAATAATCTCATTAATTTGAAGCCAAGATTTCACCGACCTTATCGGTTCCGTATAAGTAATCACAGTAGGTAAACACAGAAGCAAAGTTACTTTGGCTCTGCCCTCCTACATAGTGATGATAATCATGGTACTCTGCTCCACCGTAGAAGGGAATGAATTTTGTAGGAGTAAAAGGGAAGTCAAATCTGTTCGGAAGGCACAACTAAATGAACTAAGCATATGCAAGTACGATGCATTTTCATGGGAGGTCAGATATCTTGCTATTAATATTCAATATACACGAGGTTAAATATGGACTTGCCATCAACAAACATAGGAGTATAAGACAAACCATGACAATGATGTTGAATAAATGTGCCTAAAAGCTGAAACCTGCAATGGTTGATCACTAAATGAAAAAACACCACAATGCAAGAGGTAATTGAACTCAAAGTGAGTCACTGCTTTTTCCTAAAACTGACGTATTTGAAGTAACACGTGTACAGAATGATGTTACATCCAAAAAGGCAAAGCGGGAAGAAACTTGCAAGTACCACTTGAACCAAAAAGAACACACATTATAAGAAATGGATGTTCCTTTTTATGCTTTAAACTCAATAATAATCAAGAGTCAGTTATCGCCTGTGATCTTTAAATTCCCATCCAGAGTGGTACAAAAAGGAGAAGAGCTATAATTAAAAAAAAACGCAGGCAAATAAAAGAGTACCACTAACTTCAATGTAAGTTCTCTTAATGCTAATGAATGATTTGAAGATTTTTTGTTAGCTACTAAGTTACCCCTCTCGATAGACCCCACATGGTTATCATGAGGAATCAAATCAGTATACTCCTCCGATTCACATAACATGAATTTACATTGCCCATCATGTATGAGTGCTATTAATTTCTAACCTCCTACTCTGTTTTCTTTCACCAAAAAATTCTCGAGCAGTTAAATGCATGTCAAGGTTCTTTTAAGAAACATTTGTTCGGCATGGCTGAATACCATCCGTTTATAATCTCCCTACATCCACTTCTTTTGACAGAACCTTTTAGTCAAGATATCTACAAAGCCAAATTTGCCTGTTAACTTTTAATGCAAGAAGTAGATTTTATACTATCCCTTGTGAGAAACACAACCTATGAAAATGTGTCACTAAAACCTTCTTATTTTACAGACTTCACTTATAGTAGAATCTATAAAAACAGAGCAAGGCTCCCTCCAATGTGGGATCCGAGGAGGCTCAGCCTCTCTAAATATAAAGAAGCTATTTCCATGACTCGAATCTGGATCTCTCATGTCACAAATATCAACCTCACTTATAGTAGAATCTCTGAATGAAAATATTTTAAATTGAAATCAAGGACATAACTAACTCTAGAGATGCTTAGTTAAAGAAAAAATAAGATGACTCATGGCATAAAATTCCCACCAATACAAGGTCTGATGAAGGCTCAATGTAAACTATCTTACCCTACAAGCAGGAAGTTGGTATTTCAAACCCTGTTTATTCAAGTCACAGATGAGCAATCACATTATTGCACCAA